TGCCAAACAGCTCCTAGATTCTTGGCTGCTTGGGAGTCCCCAACCTATCAGTTTCTTTTTTTTTTTCTTTTTGTGAGCAACGCAAGTTTATTTGGAAAAAGCTCTTATTTACTTACATTCTGAGAGATGTTAAAATTATATTAAGAGTTACTCTATTTATTCAGTAGGTCAATCTAAGACCAAAAGTTAGATTTATGTACTTTCCGTTTAGCTTAAGAAAATGTTGGGAATACAGTCATTCAGCATTAGATCCAGGCACTTCGACATACTAGAGAGTAACAGTTCTGAAGGGACTTGCTTCAACATAGCTTTTAAAACTTACATGCTGTGACTAGCAGCTGAACTTTATCTTTCTACTCTGAAAAAAACTATGTATAACTTTTACAGAGTAGCTAGGGTACATCAGAAATGAAAACAAAACAAAACAAAAACTGGAAGGACGCATAGTCTTCTCTTAGAAATGAACTGTCAAATTTTAAGTCATTATCCCAAAAGCAAAGAATTTCATCACAGAAACATTTCTAGCGGTTGTGGACAAAGAACCAAATGTTTTTGTTTTTAATGACAAATGTGAATTTCTCTCAAATATCTTGGTTGGTACTTGTCTTTTATTATATGCTGATTTTTGTCTTGTAAAGATAATTCTTGCCTCTTTGGAGTCATCCTCATTCTGAAAAGACTAGAATGAGAACTGAACAAGTCCTGGATATACCACTAACTTGTTGAGTAAACCTGAGCAAAATCACCAGGACCACTTTTTAAGTTTCACTTGCCACCTTGAAATGGAGTAGCTTTGAAACTCTTAAGGTGGTAACACCTTGGAAATTATGAGCAGTACATAGATAAAAAGTTTTATGTACTTCTGCACATTACATGATGCCAATTCAATGTTAGATTAATAGGTGTTGACCCCATTATAGAAGTAAAGAGTACTATTTAAAATAACAGTTAAGTTCATTTTCCAATTTGGCTTATTATTTCCTTTTTTAAAAAAAATTCTTATTATCTTAAAAATTTTATTCGACCTTCTTTCTCCAGGTAAGACACAGAACTTGTTCTCTTCTCTTAGGGATTTATTGGTCTCCGTGGAACCTGAGAAGGCAACAACACTCATGGCCAAAGAATGACAACCCTCATTTCAGTCTTGTAGTATCCTCAGGACTGAAGGCTCTCAATGTCCATTTGTCCAGAACACCCATAAGTTCCATGCTCGTTCTGCTATCCTGGGGACATGGACTGAAGATGATGAATTCACTGGTAGTACTTTCAATCGACATGGAAGGCCTTCCCTTTGGGGTCTGTTAGGATGACTACACCCCAACAAGCAATTCTGATACCAACAACCATCTGCGCAATAGTGCCCGCACCGGGGCGTCACCCAGGACACCCTCCCGCCCGACCCCCCAGTCTGACCCGGACAGCATGTGGCAGCTCCAGCAGTTACTAAACAGAGGGGCTTCCGTGGGAGAGGCCCGTGCTCCAGGTGCAGCGAGGGGCGGGGGCTCGGTGGAGTCGGTGCCTCCGGAAGCGGAAGCACAGGGACCTTGATGGGCTCCTAGGTTGGGAAACCAGAGACCCCCCAGTCCCAGAGCTCTGCTTCAGCTGAGGGAGTCTTCCAACCCAACTGATGTAGTTTGCGTCATCTTTGACTAAACACTCCTTTCATTCCATCTCTACAGGGAGGCACTAAATCACACATATTTTCCTCTACCTATGGGAGTGTAGTGGAGGGAGAAAGGCCTTGAAGCGAATCAGACCCGTGTCTAAATTTATCTAAGTTATTTACCATACCTTTGCATGAACTTGGATATACTACGTGACAACTAGGAGTTTCAATGTTTTCACGGGGGAAAGGAGGAAAACACCTATTACAGAGGTGCTATGATCATTAAATTGAAACAATGCATTTTGACATGTTTGGCATATAGTAGGATTAAAAATATTAGTTGCTACTTGGGTCTCTTCTTTTTAGTTGTTCCCTTCTTGAATTAGCACTGCCACATTCTGTTCCAGTATCTCAGTTCAATATACTTAAAATATCACAGACACAGCCCCTATTCGTTGCTTCATTGCATCCTGCTTTCCCCATATGGCCCTGCTTCCCTAATTAATACTGACAGTGTCAAAGAACTCCTTCACTCTAGATTCACTCCTTCCCCCTCCTATTTTTTTTTAACCATAGTAATTTGAAACATCTTTGATTGTCTTTTCGATTCTGGAAAGTTCTCTTTTCCAACTTCTCTGACCCAAACTATTTTTCTCCATTTCCCCTTTCTCCTTAACCTAAATCTTCTGTCCTAGTCCTCCAGGCTGCCCTCACCCCTTCCCCAAAGCCACATTTGTTTCTTCCCCTAAAACTTTAATATCCTCCTATCTGGAAATTCACACCTCCTAGTGATAGAACAGACCTACATCCCTTAAAGAGCCTTGCTTCAACTTTCCAGCCTCCGAGGCCTTTTGGCCTGCCATCATGATTAATACCTAATAGCATTCTGAATTATGTTTATTTGCTAATGTCCTAGTTGAGTGCTTACAATTTCTTGGGTTTCAATACAAGTAACATTTCAAAGCCAAATCTAGCTACTGGCATTAGTTTTACCTTTTTTTGCCATAGTAGAGATCTTTAAAAATCATTTATGATCCTCATTTCACTTTCTAAAGCATATTTTACAAAAAAGGAGGATATGCTGTTAGAATTTAAAAATTTAAATGAATTAATTTAGATTTATGAGCAAATTTTTATTACTCTTATTTTCATTTTGATGTGGACAGAGAAAATTCTATCAGGAGAATTCTTGGACAGGCATTCAGGAACTTCCCTAATTGTCTCTACACACCTACTGTTTCTGTAACATGGTTTATTGAGATTTGGAGACTCCTACTATGAACTAAGGAGTGTAACTGTGTGTGTCTCTGTGTATATAAGTATTACTGTGTCATTCCACAGGTAGCAGAGCCAAAGCATAAGAAACTCAGAACTTGCTCAAGGACTCACAGCTAGTAAATGATAGAACTTAGAGCAGAATCCAGTTATTTAGACTCTTGTGTTCTTGACCACTACCACATACTGCTGCCACTTCTTTAGGCTCTACATAATGGAATATGGTTCTGAGCACAAAATAAATACACCAATGTATGCAATGATGATGGCAGCCTTTGCCATAATATATTGTACCTGCAGAACAGAATAATGGCCAGATACTTAGCATCCAAGGAGACCATTTCTACAGGTATTTATAAACTATAAAGTACTGTACATATGTAAAATCAACTATAATTATTATAATTATCCATGCCGACTGGAATTCCACAAGACTAGGTTACTTTAGATTACCAAGGAAAATTAAAATACTATCAAGATCGTTTCTAAGGAAATGTCACCTACAAGAATGCTTTAGGACATCAACATTAATTCATCTACAGGAAAATTCTGTGGAAATTAAAGTGATCTAAAATTACCTCACTTCACTGCCTGTAATATTTCACTCTTTTATTGTTACCTATCAAGTATTAGAGAACACCCTACGCAAAATGGTGAAGAATGTCTTAAGTACACTCTCATTACCTTTCTTTAGATATACTTTATCAGAAACTCCAACCCTTCCTTTTTTGCCTCCCTCTGTTCTATAAGAACCTCTGAGCCCGCTGCTCCCCTAGAATCCATCCAATTGACGACTTTACACTTTTGTATTCTGGTTTTTTGTTTTGTTTTTATTTTTAGAAAACCTACAGGGTAATTATCTAATGGGAACATTTCAGAAAGGAGATTAAACTGTTGCAGAGATTTCTGAAACAAAGAGTATCGCACTGGTGGCCCTTAATTTAGGTGACAATCAGTTTCTCCAATGGTAGGGAATGACCCTGAAGGCACAATATCTCTCAGTACCTATAATTCCTACACAAGTCTCCTTTCCCAATAATTCACTACAGTGAGTTCCACCACAAAGTACACTGCTTTTGTGCACGGCTACCCTTCTCCCCACTCTTTGTTTCACTTCATTATCATGGCTTCTTCTATTCCTCTGTATCACTCATATGAAACAACAGGAGCAAAAACAAGTCATTTTACAGTAAAGGAATGACAGCCCCTGTCTATAAGTCAAGTAATGGTTCTCAATTTACACTCTCTAGGATTTGCTGAGGACTCCTAGGCAAGGCCTTAAGGATAACAGTGCCTCAACTTCATTCTCTCTTTAATGAAGGAAAAAAACCCAAATGACCCTAACATACCCAACACCTCTAGAATCCTGCGGTTCTGTGATACACAGTATCATTCAAGGTAAAGATGAAGACAAAGACAGGGAAATATTGTATACTCTTAAGTAAAAGCCACATTTGACTCAACGAATTTCCCTTTTTAATAGTTCCCGAACTAAAAGGCACTGCGAATGCTTTCAAACTCTTAGTGTAATTCATAAAAAAGTGTGGAGGGCTTGTGTTTCTTCAGGGTAAGTCTTAACTGAATGAAGAAAAAGTCATTCGATAATCAATATTCATCCAGAACAGCGTTTTCCAAATTGTACCACAAAGAACATTACTGTTTCTATAAAATGTTAGAAAGAATTGAATTTAAATAGGAAGTGACCCTTTGAGGGTTAGCTAGTCTTAGCGAATTGCTTCCAAAGAATAGAATAATCATAATTATCTATTAGTACTGTAATGGAAAGGGAGAGATAATTTTACAGCGCGGAAACCCTGGGTAACACTACCTAACCGAGTGACCAAGATTATCACCGGTGCGTCACATCACAGCGTCACTTTAAATTTTGTGTCACAGGGGTCTGCCTACCTTATGCAAATATCAAGGCCTGTGATTGGTCAGGCCCATAAAGCCCCTGCCACCATGGCACAAAACAAGACCCTTCAAAACGGTGGCCCAGCTACTCACCAGCGCCCTGGCCCGCCCCGCTGGTCTCGCGCCTGAAGAGGAAGAGCCTTCGCACCACATCTTCCCACTCTAGGTAGGCGAGTGGCCAACACCCGCGTTACCCTCCTCAGCCATGGCCTGGGCCCCAGAGCAGAGAAAGGCAGAGCCTCAGCCGCGAGATCACAGGGTCTGCCAGGAGCGCGGGGGCGGTGGCGGCAGCAGCAGCAGCGGAAGTGAGGGCGGAAGTGGCCAAGGCTGGAGCGGCCCCTCGGGCTACGTGGACCTTAGGGCCTCAGGCACCAGAGAACCACCTCTCTGCTTTAGATTAAGGAACAATATGATCAGTGTGGTGATTGGTCGTGGTGGAGCAAAGATAAAAGACATCCAGGCCAGGACAAACACCAAGATACACATCATAAAAGGTGACTCTGAAGCAGAGGTAAAAATTTTTGGCGCCAGGGACATGAAAGCCAAGGCCAAAGCAGCTATAGAAGCCCTTGTTGAGAAACAAGAACGCAGCTCGTTCAGAGTCCCGGGTTGAAAGTGTCGCACCTCAGCCCTCTGCCACAAGGGAGTTTCCTGCGGAGAGCAGTGGTGGTAGACAAGTTCAGCCACTGATAGACTGGGATAAAATCAGGGCAGAAGTTGTAGGGTGGGAAAAAAGAAAATGGGCAGATTTACCACCCATTACGAAAAACTTCTACGTAGAAGCTAAAGCCACAAGCTCGTTGTCTAAAGTTCAAGTAAACCTCTGGAGAAAGGAAAATTTTGATGTAATGTGTGACGACCTGAAAGATGGTAAAAAGCGCCCCATCCCAAATCCTACCTGTACTTTTCAGGATGCTTTCCAACCTTATCCTGAACTTATGAGGAACATTAAAAAAGCAGGTTTTCAAAAGCCAGTGCCAATTCAGTCACAGGCGTGGCCAATTATTTTACAAGGAATAGATCTTATTGGAGTTGCCCAAACTGGAACAGGCAAAACTTTGGCCTATTTAATGCCTGGCTTTACTCATCTCAATAATCAACCAGTATCGAGAGAGGAAAGGAATGGACCTGGCATGCTAGTCCTTACACCCACTAGAGAATTAGCTCTTCAGGTAGATGCTGAATGTTCTAAGTATTCATACAAAGGTCTTAAAAGTATTTGTATATATGGTGCCGGAAATAGAGAACAACAAATACAAGACCTTACCAAAGGCATAGATATCATTATTGCAACTCCTGGACGACTGAATGATCTGCAAATGAATAACTTAGTCAACTTACGAAGCATAACATACTTAGTCTTAGATGAAGCAGATAAAATGCTAGATCTGGGGTTTGAACACCAGATAATGAAGATCTTATTAGATGTGCACCCAGATCGGCAGACTGTTATGACAAGTGCAACTTGGCCAGATACCATTCGTCAACTTGCTGGATCTTATTTGAAACAGCCTATGATGGTGTATGTTGGTACTCTGGATCTAGCTGCTGTTAATACCGTGAAGCAAAATGTAATTGTTACCACAGAAGAAGAAAAACGATCTCTTATCCAAGATTTCCTACACAGCCTGTCACCCCAAGACAAAGTCATCGTGTTTGTGAGCAGAAAACTTGTTGCTGACGACTTATCAAGTGATTTAAGCATCCAGGGCATACCAGTGCAATCACTGCATGGTAACAGAGAACAGTATGATCGTGAGTATGCTCTGGAGGACTTTAAAACTGGAAAAGTGAAAATATTGAATGCTACTGATTTAGCATCCAGAGGTCTTGATGTTAATGATGTCACACATGTATATAATTATGACTTACCATGCAATATTGAAGAATATGTACATAGAGTTGGGCGTACTGGAAGAGCAGGAAAGACGGGTGTATCAATTACCCTCATAACTCAAAATGATTGGAAAATCGCTAGCAAATTGATTAAGATTCTAAAACGAGCAAATCAGAGTGTCCCAGAAGATCTTATAGCAATGGCTGAGCAATATAAAATGCATAAACAAAAAAAGGACACAAGAAAAAAATCAAAATCGCATGGAAAAGGCACGGAATTTTATTGATACCAACACTGAAGAGTTTTACTACACTACTCTAAGATTGAAGATCTATTAAAGATTCGTAGTTTTCATGATACATAAGTATTAGAAACACTTTAAAGCAGGTTAAAGACGTTTACCAATTTTTAAATACAAAGCTTTCAATATTGTGTATGTTCCCTAATGAAGTCAAAAGTGTTTGAAAAAAAATTAAATGTTATGTGTGGTTTTTTTTTTTTAGAGAATGCATGAGTGGAGGGGAGGAAGGTGGGGGAGGAGGGAGGTGAAGTGGCAACAGAAAGGAGGAGAGGGAGGGGAGCAGATACTGAGAGGAAGGGGGAGGCAAAGGGGTAGAGGAAGGCTGAAAGGGAGGGGAGAAGGGAGGCAGGGAGAGGAAGGCAGAGGGGGAGGGATAGGCAGATAGGGAGGGGAGAGAGGGAAAGGGGAGAGGGAGAGAATCTCAAGCAAGCTCCATGCCCAGTGCAAACCCAATGCTGGGCTCCATCTCACAACCTGAGGTCATGTCCTGAGTCAAAACCAAAATTCAGACATTTAACGGACTGAGGCACCCAAGCACCCCTTATTTGTGGGTTAAAGTCTAGTTTCTTTTATAGCCTGCCATATCCATCTATGTTGTCTCTAAAAGATTGGTAGCAAATAACAATGGTGCTTTTCTTGCTTTAAAAAGTCACACTGAGGGGATCCCTGGGTGGTGCAGTGATTTGGGGCCTGCCTTTGGCCCAGGGCGCGATCCTGGAGACCCGGAATCAAATCCCACGTCGGGCTCCCGGTGCATGGAGCCTGCTTCTCCCTCTGCCTATGTCTCTGCCTTGTCTCTGCCTCTCTCTCTCTCTGTATGACTATCATAAATAAATAATTAAAAAAAATTAAAAATAAATAAATAAATAAAAAGTCACACTGAATTGAAACAACTTTCATCAAGTTTATCCTAGTCAAAATATTCTATTTTCCCCTAGCAGTGCCACAACAATCCCTAAAAATACCTCCATTAACATTCCCTAGTTTGAAAAAATTCATTTGAAAATAAATGGTCAACCTTCTAGAACATTCCACAATTCCATTTTTTTCAGATAGATGTGACTAGCTGAGCATGGTGTCTGACTCACTGGGAATCAGATCTTCATACCAACTCTATCACTTATTACTGGTTAAAAATTCTGAGGAGGAAAAAAAATTCTGAGGAGGTCACTTATCTTCTGTAGGCCTCACTTTCTTTAAGAAATTGGGATGGTAAAAAAATAAAATTAGAAGAAATTGGGATGGTTATATTAGAAAATTTTAGGATCCCCTTCACCATTAAATTCTATATTGTAACCAAAAATTGTGTAACCCAGCTGTTACTAACACTCTTTTCTATTTTTCTGTTTTTTAACACCTTATTTTCTAATGTAAGAAGAAAATCACATTCTCATTTAACAAATTGAACAATGAAACCCTTTTTAATGAGAATAGTACTTACTGCATTTTTATTGATTTTTGAAATGTGACTCACAGATTGTCTTTATTTTCTCTTCTTGTATTTTATTTTTCGATCTGTCTGGAAAAGGCCCAAACTTCATATACACATAATGAAAAAAATTAATGTGAAAGTAAAATATATCTTATATACTGGGAAAAACATTAAAAACTCGACCAAATGACACTTTTGGCAGAGGAACCAATTCTAGTTGAAGTCTTAATTTCTAATTCTGTCTTGAATGCTTTATTTAGAAGCAATATGAAACTTCTCAAATTGCAAGAGGTCCTTCTAATGACACTAAAGTTTAAAATTCAATGTTTATAAGAATATTATCAAGCCTTACAATCTCAGGCAAATGTAAAAAACTAATGTAACCATCTTTTTTCCTAGCATACCCAGCTGTGACCACAGTCAGTAAAATTAAGTGAGATAAAGAGGTAAATAGGTATAGGTGTTTGAGTCTGGCTTACAGGCTCTTAATATAGGCTCAATATCTCGATAAAATTCTTGATAAAAATGGTTAGCATTTTTGAGTGTCTAAAATATAAAAAGGTGCTTTGTCTAATAATCTATAATCTTTATAAAAAACCCATTCAGAAGGAAATCTTACCCCTATTTTTCAGAAAATGAAACAGGGCCAGAGGAACTAACTTGCTTTACTAAATCTGGTTAACAAGGAGTTAAGTGATACTTTAACCCAGATGCGCCTGATTCCAATATTTACATTCTTTTCATTTTAATACAGTTAATATGTACAAGACAATATTAACCAGGGGCATTTTTGCCCCTCCTCCAGTAGACATTTAACCATACGTGGAGATAGCATTGGTTTTTAATTGGAGAAGGTGGGAAGGTGCTACTGGCAGCTAGTGGGTAGAGGTCAGGTATACTGCTGAACACCTGAAAATCTACAGGACAGCCCCACACAACACAGAATCTTTTGGCACAAAATTTTATTGCCGCTGAGATGGACAATCCCTGAAAAACCATAAACAAAACCACAAAAACCAGTTGCATAGTAATGAAGAAAGGACTTCAGAGGAGAAAAGAGGGTTTATAAATGAGATCTTACAGGTTGTGAAGAATAAAATCCCCACAACCTTCCTATTCTTGGTATAATCTGCATCCGTGGTTCTCCATCAGAGCCAATTTGACAATGTTAAGAGACAGATTTAGTTGTCACAACTCAGGGGCAGTGTATTAGCATCTCCTTGGTCAAGACCAGGGGTACTGCTAAACATCCCACAATGCACAGGACAACTCCCCAAAACAAAGAATCATGTAGCCCAAATGTCAGTAGTGCTATAGCTGAGAAACCTTGCAATAGATTAAGCAAAACACCACTCCTCAAACTCAACTGCGGAGAAACCAAGAAGGGAGTGAAAACAAAGAAAGATATATCTTACTTTTGCACTGTTCAACATAAAACCCTCCACCGACCTTTCTGTCTTTGGTATCACTCATGTCAGTGATTCTCAGAGTTGACTTGCCCCCTTGGGGACATTTGGAATGTCTAGAGACATTTTTGGTTTGTCCCTCCTAGGTGGCAAAATTGTTATCGGCATCTAGTGGGTACAAGGCAGGGATAAACATCCTATAATGGACAACACAGGGCAGCACCAAAATGATGGACTTCCCAGCCCAAAATGTCTATGATATTTGATGTCAAGAAACTGTGGTTTACATTGATTAACAAAAGTTTTGTGAGTGCATTGGGTTTTTGTTTGTTTTTTAGAAACACAAGGAAATACTGATTTCTGCATCCAAGCTATAACAGAGCAAAAGCAGGTCACTGAGCATGAATTGAGAGAGGAAACAGTATGAGGATTCAGCTAACCTCAGTTATTCCTGTACAATCCTTAACATGGTGATTCACACTCAATATGTACTTGACAAGTATTAGATCCTTTGTGCTCTGCTTCTCCCATCACCCATAATATAATGCTTATTCACTACAATTCTAGGTGTTATTACTCACACCATTGGGTATTGTTTCCCCCATCTGGCAAACCCTTTCTCCTCCTCCTCTGCCAGGTCAAATGAGACTCATCATTCTGTGCCTAGCCCAAGTGTTACATCTTCCCCAAGATCCTATGTGCTCTCCTCCATTTTGAAACTTCTGTAGTTCTTATTATCTATCAATAACGTTGATATTTGTACTACACTAGTTTGCACCCCTGCAAAGACAATTTTGAAAAATTCAAATTAAGAGCAATTACACAAATATTTAAATACACTATAAAAACGTAACAGTTACAACAGCTTTATCCTGCATGATTGACAAATCATGAGAGAACTGTCCAGAGCTAAATCTCCACCTTTATTAGAATCTTTAAGTTAGTAAAGAACGGAAAGTCTATTCCAAAACAAATTTTAAAAATTCAAAAATACAGGGACTCCTGGAGGGCTCAGCAGTTGAGCGTCTACCTGGCTCAGAGCATGGTCCCAGAGTCCTGGGATAGAGTCCCACATCCGGCTCCCTTTGAGGAGCCTGCTTCTCCATCTGCCTATGTCTCTGCCTCTCTCTGTCTCTCAAGAATAAATAAAATCTTTAATAAAAATACATAACAAAAAAATACATAACATATACACATACCAGGACAACTGAGCAACAATCAAACTCCTACTATGAAAAAAAATCCCTACTAGCTTCTTGTTTTTATAAAAAATATAAGAACCTGAAGCTCATTCAGGTTCAGGAAAATAATTTCTGATATGAAAATGGGCAAATAATTAAACATAAAGGGCAGCCTGGGTGGCTCAGTGGTTTAGCGCTGCCTTCGGCCCAGGGTGTGATCCTGGAGACCCGGGATCAAGTCCCATGTCGGGCTCCCTGCATGGAGCCTGCTTCTCCCTCTGCCTCTCTCTCTCTTTCTCTCTCTCTCTCTCTCTCTCTCTGTGTGTGTGTTTCTCATGAACAAATAAAATCTTTTAAAAAAAATTAAACATAAAAGCAACCACAGAAAATTAAAGGTAAATGTTAACATGGGGGTTTAACAATGTAAAAATGAAATGTCAAAAATACCCTAATAAAGGGAAAAGGAAACAGAAAAATAAAATGTATAAAACAGCATAGCTATTGATATTTAATATACAAAGATTTTTACCAAAAAAAAATATAAAGGATGAAGCCCAAAACAGATATATGGGCAGAAATGTAAAAGGCAATTCACCAAACAGAAAAGTGAGCAGTAAATGTGTAAAACTGCTTAACTTCTTTCTAATCAAATGAATGAAAGTTAAACCAATGACCTAAATTTTTCTCTAAAAAATCGGGCTGGGATGAAAAAAATAAGACTGGAAATACATAATACTAGTAAGGACACAGGGAAATAAGTGTTGATAAATTATAATTTGGTAAAATTATATTCCTTGGAGGGATAGCTGGCATTATGCATAAAATCAGTACATGTTTCATACACTCTGACCCAGTAATAACCATATCCAGACATTGACCTTAAGGACATAATCACTTACACATACCAAGATGTGTATACAAGCTATTTATCACAGGGTTACTTTAAAGAACTAAACTTTAGGAAAC